GAGAGAGAGAGAGAGAGAGAGAGAGAGAGAGAGAGAGAGAGAGAGAGAGAGAGAGAGAGAGAGAGAGAGAGAGAGAGAGAGAGAGAGAGAGAGAGAGAGAGAGAGAGAGAGAGAGAGAGAGAGAGAGAGAGAGAGAGAGAGAGAGAGAGAGAGAGAGAGAGAGAGAGAGAGAGAGAGAGAGAGAGAGAGAGAGAGAGAGAGAGAGAGAGAGAGAGAGAGAGAGAGAGAGAGAGAGAGAGAGAGAGAGAGAGAGAGAGAGAGAGAGAGAGAGAGAGAGAGAGAGAGAGAGAGAGAGAGAGAGAGAGAGAGAGAGAGAGAGAGAGAGAGAGAGAGAGAGAGAGAGAGAGAGAGAGAGAGAGAGAGAGAGAGAGAGAGAGAGAGAGAGAGAGAGAGAGAGAGAGAGAGAGAGAGAGAGAGAGAGAGAGAGAGAGAGAGAGAGAGAGAGAGAGAGAGAGAGAGAGAGAGAGAGAGAGAGAGAGAGAGAGAGAGAGAGAGAGAGAGAGAACAAGCCCCGGGGGCTGTGTAGAGACGCTTGGCCGCGCGGCAACACCGAACAGCCAGGCCCCACCCTGTGCACTGCGCTGGCACAATCATCTCGCGGAGATCAGAGAGCCCTGCCCGCGGGCAGCTTGTTATAAACGGCTTCTGGACGCCCGGCCAGGTTACAACGCCATGGATCAGCTGGCAAAGAGCGAATTAACGCTTTGACTCTCCGCTATTCAGAGGTTTGGCGAAGAAGAGAGGGACGAATTGGAGGATGGTATTTTATCTTGAGTTCTCGGAGTGGGAAGTTGCTTTTGGAAGATTTTATGGCTGAAAGAAAAGGATATAGAGTTGTGCGTGGATTTGCATATTGGAAACTATGCAGGAATTGTGATCTGGAAAAGGTAATTTGGTAGGTAAATTGGATTTGGTTTAAATGAAAGGCGAAGTGGAGTTCAGCAATAGTAGGATGTTCTTTGTTCCACGTTTTTGTCTGGTTTGAGAAAGTGAATATCGGTTTCGAATCACTTTATGGGAAAATAAAGGTGTACGGAGGTAGGTTTGCTCGATAGGAAATAGCAAAGCGAAGGACAGTTCCTTCTTAAGGAACTTCTTAAAGAAACAGGACTACCTGTTTCTTTATGGTTTGAAGAAGCGAATGTGAATTCTGAAAGATTTAATAGGAAAGATTTGAACGTATAAAAGCAGAGTGCTCGTTAGTAACAAAATTGGAAGATAAATCATCGTAGAGATAATAACTGTAAGAGTGGATGTTTGTACGAACCAGAAAGATCGCACATTAAGCAGGTACATTGACCGGTTCCATGGTATACGTAGTGACACAATCATTTCGCGGAGTTCAGAGGTTTAGCTTGGGGTGGTTTGATGTAAACGGCTTGTGGTTTCGACGCCTCGTTAGATTGCAATCACCATGGATCAGTTGTCAAAGAGGGAATTGATGGTCTCGTTCGCACGTGCGGATCGTACACACAGCGATAGCATTTTCAAATCAAAACTGAAGAACGAAGAACACGGTGCTATGGATACAGATAATCTTTCGGAAACTTTGGTCACTTTTAATTTAAATTACCTTCTCGATTCTTTAAGCGTACGACTCTATGATTACAAATTAATACTTTTCTCTTATTACGGTTGTGTTCAGTTTGATTGATATCTTACAGAATTGGATAGAAAAAGTATAGATAGAAATTTTCTCCAAATAAACTTCAAATGTAGCTTGATATCTCAAAATGAAACGAGTGATATTATTATAAAAAAAAAAAAAAAGGAAAGTAGAAAAATGTATGACAAATTGATATAAAAATCAATTACAAATACTTGTCACTAATTTTATCAAACACATTAGTAATAAATCAATCAAAATACGTTTTATAAGGAAAGATTTAACGCTACAGTTATCAGAGTACTATAGCCGATATAGGTAAATGGTAATTTTTAGTATTGTATAATAATTTTACAAATTTGCTACGGCATACTTTCAAGGATTTAAGCGGTAAAAGACTTGTCTGTCGGTTTGACTTATTCGGTAAAAATGTTATACTTCATTATTTTACGATCGATTTTATAGTCATTGCTTGTTTTAGTGTTTAAGAGTCGAATAGTATTCTTTCTTCATATTTTTCTAGATGTCTTTGTTATGTTTTTTCTTGCAGTTCTTGAAGTTCAATTTCATTCATTTATATTATTTACATTCGTACAATTACGAGCTCGTATCTATATTTATTTATGGTCCCTTTTAGATTGTGAAATTCTACTTATCGTACGATAATTACGTCCGATATTACAAAAAGAGCGTCAGAATTTCAAATTATTTCGCTCGCACAAAACTTTCAATTTACAGTTCTTATTATATTTCAATTCTTCTAATATTCAGACTTCGCGTATGATTCATTTTTATCATTTATTTAACACAAGGCTCGCTTTCTTTTCAGATATAGGAATTTTACTGACTGTTTTTGATACAAAAGGCAAAATATCATCAAACAAACTGGCTCCTGAATTCATGTAAATTTTCCCCTTCTAAATAAATTTACACGGTCGCCCTTGTCGTTTGTTTATCATAATATTGGAAACTCGAAATGTAACGCGAAAGGTGATTACCATAGTCTGATAGAACGACGAAGGAAACTATTAGCGGTGATCGTTTCCTCAGCTTTCAATTGGAAACACAAGCGAAATTAAAATTCTAGAAGTCCTATAACATTCATTGTTTATTGTGAAAGTCAGCAAACTCCGAGTTAGCGAATATTTCTCTGGAACCGGTGACCCAGCACCTTCTGTTACTACACTACAAAATCCTAGCTTACTCAGCCTCTACACCTCGCCTTTTATCATTTCACGCATCAACGTCTCCAGCAAGCTCGCAAATCGTCAACATCGTTCTGATCGTGGCCAACTTCCTTTGACTCGGTTTACACATCACGGGGCAACGCGAAAGGGAACGAAACCATCGTGAGCAGGAACCTCGTGAAATTACGCGACGACGCGTGTTGGCCCCGGGCCACTTTGTGGCTCTCGCGTCAAATTGAAATTACAAGCTACCCTTTCGTCTGCACACCTCTCACAGGCCAAATTAATTTGCTCTTCTTCTAACAATATCCCTTTCTGTCGAAAATAATTTAGAATGCGTTTCCAAAGATACGACGATATCTTCTTCGATACTCTTCCCATTTCTTCGAGGTGGTGGATGGCGATGAATAGATTGCAGATTTTTATGCAAATTTATATCTTTGTAGATTTTTAGAGAGATGAAAAAATTACAGAAATAGAATTTAAATAGAGGTTCGACATCGAAAACGTTATTAAAAAGTTAATAAACGTTAAAAAAAAAAGCTCTACTTTGAATATTTGATATGCGTTCTGTGCATTTTTGCATACTTGAATTTCGCACACATGCATCAAAAACCCGCGGTCTGATGATAAACTATTCAACGATAGGTTCACTAGGCCATAAACGAATATTCCAGATACTTATATACGTTCCCCGTGGTAATTCGAGCAGAGTCATTAACGTTGATCGCGTGTTCGCCGAAACTTATGGTGGATTACGCTTGTATACTTCTTATCGATGGAAGGAAGCTCCACGGCGCATTTTGTTCACGCGATTTCTTCAGAAGAAACTGGCGACTCTGTTGCGTAACCATAGGCGAATATACCAGGCGTTGTGTTGCTTTGCAATATTATCAGCTCCGACATTTATCTTTTACTTGCTTACTCTTGGACACCGCACAAAAATTCCCTAAAAAAAGAAAATCCACTTTAGATTCAGAATCTTATTACTATCGATCATTATCGTCTTATTTCTTAATTTCTACTACGATTCAACGACAAGAATAATTGACATTTAAATCGTCTCTATAGCACAAATTTTCCAGAAGAAAATTCTCCGCGTTATCTTCAAAATCAAAAATCTTCGATCCGATACCTTCGTCCAGTTCTCCACACCTGTACGGCAGTCTGAAAGTGCTCAAAAAATTGGCGATCGAGAAGTCACACGAAAGGTCAGACATGTTCCACGAAAGGAACAGGCATGCACGAGGGTAAAAGGTTCGTCCAGGCATAGATATCGACCTCCGTTCTCAACCGGTCTGCCCAGTGGCCAGGAAAAGCGACTCTAAGACAACTAGTAGAACAATAAAAGTACTCCTCCCTGTTTCCATGTCCGCCACGAGCGTGCCTCGCGTGACTTGCTGACCCAAGTCGACCAACCCTCGACCTCTCTCCCACGTGTACATATATATTCCTACATCTGTGCACACATACGTATACATATGTATTTACACATGTGTATATGTGTGCATGTGTATCCGAAGGCAACCCTAACTTCCCTATGATAATTACGTACTCCGGCACGGCGACGCGTGCCTTGGCAGTTCGCTCACGCGCCTGATCACGTATGCCGTGACTATCATACCACCTCGACACCCATAGGTAACGACCTGGCCACCCTCCACGCCGGATCTTCGGGGTAATGGGCGTTTGAAAAAGTGCAATCGAACGTCAGGTTACCGTGATTCAACGGTGAATTGAAATCAGGCCTCTGGTTGAAAGTGTAGAGGGAGGTGAAAGGTAAGCAAACAACGTTTGGATGTTTATGGTTGTAACGTTTGTCCATGCGTTGACTCGCCTGGAACAGTTAGTCCTTTGTGGAAGGTAGTTGAGTGGGGAGGTTGGTAGATTGGTTTGTTGCGTAGAACGTTTCGATACTAGAACTACCAGTTTGTAATTTTTCATCGAAATTTCATAGATTCGTGTTTCATGGTTTTTTCATTGTAGCATTGTAGTTCGTTCATTCAGTTGTAGCATTATCATGGAAGACGAACATGGTGAAACTTGGGAAACCAGATATGAGAAGGTGCTTGAAGAGTAATGATCGCCTGCTTTTTGCGGATGTAAACTCCTCTTGGATGGATGAAAGGTCGCAGAGTGTTGCAGGGTAGACTCTAGAAATCCAAAGTACCTGCAATGATAATAAACATGTGTAATCTGAGAAAGTGAACTTGGAGAATCGTAGAGGATAGAACATGTTGAAACTTTAGGATCAAGTATTGAGAGACAGGCTTGAGGAATAATTACTTTTGTGAATATAAGCTGTTCCTGAGCGGATAAAAGCTTCTAAAACATGGCAGTTCAAGCCTTCAGATACCGAGGTATATGAAAGGATGAACATTGCAAGGAGTATGTACGTTAATAGTGAATTGGAAAAATCACGGAAGGTATAATACAATCGTCAAGACAAGAAGATTCTTCTATACCTAATGACAGATGTATCTTCTGCAAAGAAATAACGCAACGTCTCGCAAGTATTTTAGCCAGCATGCTCAAGAATCCACTGATACATAAATACCGATGTAAAGTGAATACTTCGTGAAGATCGCGCAATCTGCAAAATCTGAAATTTGGAACGAACGAATTTCAGTCTCGATTCGAAGGCCCTGAACAAATGACGCGATATTCATATGCGTTTAGAGGCATAAACGAGACTCGATCGCAGCCGAATTTTTACACCTTCAGGAACAACAGCTTTTATCGTTTCACTGGCGCTGTTAACTACGTATTTTCTTTACCGCATTACGTCGTTCGTGCTCAGGGTAATATGTTTTTTGTTCATCAGATAAACTGTTGGTTGTATCAAATCCCATTTGTAACGACGTGTTACGCGGAGCGAAATTAATCGTTTCCTAATTATCGCATAGCGTGAACGCGACAACCAACCGAATGAACACACTCGAAGAAAAAGGATTCTTGTCTCACCGGATGATCTTAACGCGCCGAAAGATTTTCTTTTGCATGAAATCCCGTAATGCTTATCGAGCAAAGTTCAATTAATGCCGACACGAACGCGTTCACACGGCCTCAACCGTACCGATCCTTAGGTTCAAACGTCTCTGTTTGCGCGAACCCGATCCCGGGCATCGCTTAATAATCATTCTCCCTGTTAAGCGCATACACTTATTATCGTGACTATCGTTAAAACATATTCGATAACGGTTACTTTGAAAGGATTTACCTATTCCTGTAAAAAAGTTAAATAGGTTTACAACTTATAAACTGTTATATTACAAACGAGATTTATAAGTTTGTATGCTACGTGTTTTAAATAGCGTTAATAAATGTCACAACTGATAATAGTTCGTCGACGAAAGTTGTACAAAATGACGCGACGAGTTGTACAAATGCGAGATAATAAAAAGGCGAAATCAAAAGTCAAAATTAAACGATTCCCTATTAAAGTAGCTTCTAAGGATTTGGTTCAATCGCAATCGCGTACAATGTCATTGTATGAATACCTTGAATAAATTACGAATCTTTTAATCTGCTCGTCGTTTGCTAAAACAACAGAACTCTAAACTTTACATAAACGATTTGTCGTCTAATACCAAACAAACATTTCCCTTCTTAAATACTCTCTAGATCAAAGATACAACGTATCCTCTTCTTAAATACCCTACTCAACGCCATACAAAATATCGATGTTCGCAAATAAAAAAGACTATCATATTGAGCATGTTCATCAGACGGCTGGATTCGTGCGGATTTAAGTAGCATGCAGCTCGTGTACCCGTTGATAGACGTTGAACGACGCACGGTTAAAGTGGAAACGCAATCGGCGCGCACCCCAACAAGAAATCGGAGATGAATACGGGCCGATACGGAGGGAGAGAGTGGAAATGCGGCCAGCCAAGCGTAAACGTGTCACGCATAGGCACGTGGCCGTGTATGTACTGGCGAGAAGGCATAATACGAGCGACTTGGACGTATCCCGCGACCCCTCCAATATGTTACCAACGTTTCTTTCGCCATTCCCATTCCATCCAAACGTTGTATCGGCTGGAAGAATAATATTGTGGCTGAGACACGACCGGTACCGATCCAGCCATTCTTATATCCTTGTATCCTTGCAGCAACCCTTCTTCAAGCACATTGGCCATCGATGTATCGAATCCAAATGTGACACGAGGTTTCTAGAACGACATTACGTATATATGTAGTGACTGGTATATTCGAAGTTTCCCAAGTTCATGTTTAAAGTGATAAAACGACGAGAGAATTATTGAGCAGAGAAGCGAGAATGATAGCCTTAGTGAATGATGGATTAACAGCGTATTTACTGAGATAACAAAGGAGAGTTCTAAGAGATCTTCAGTATTTTGTTTAGCTGTATACGAAATCTCGTGATTGTAAAATTAATAGTCTATTAATCTTGGAATATTGTAGTAAGTAGTATACTCTAATTATCGTTGAGAAATGGTAAGTCTTTGTTACTTGTATGTTCTAATAATTTTCTCGCGCTGGAAGCTCCCATAACTATTCAAGAATAAATTCCAATCTATACAAAGTGGATATTTAAACTTTAGTTTTACTTATTCTCATGTTTATGGCATAGAACTTCCCAGTACAGTACTAAGAGGATTCTGTATACACAGATGTAGTATTGCAGGGTTAATTGATGAGAATAGGAATGTCAACTGACATGGAACTACTATAGCTGTCTAAAATTCATAAATATTCACCGTGGAAAGACATTCCGCAAATTCCTCGTCCGTTACACAATGGACAATGAAAATGATCGGACATTGAACAGTTCCAAATATCCTTTCATTATCTTCTTCCCCTTTTCCATACTCCCACGACAACTGTATTCAATACCAAACATTTAATACCATCGAATTTTTCCCAAACAATAAATTTAATACTGGGAAGTCTACCTGAGCAATCTGCTAATTATTCTGATCAAGATAATCGTTTCTACGTCGAAGTCATCCTTTGAAACATGGAGATTGCCGTTGCGGTGTCGTAATTGTTGCCCGATAAAGCGAATCGATTCCTCAATACAGGCTGGAAAAAGGACACAATGCTACAGGCAGTCGCTCGAGGAGATCGTCGCATCGAAAATCGAACGACAAGGCCATAATTCTATCAACGGTATTGTTTATCCGGCGAAAGGACGATCCTGCATTCAGCGGCGCCCATTTTTATTGTCGTAAATCTGGCAGCGTGAATGTGGCGGTCACGCGCCGTTTCCCGGTGACTTGTTGCCCACGATCCATGTCTGCCGGGTTTT